TGTAGTGTGGTCATTCCCCCAAAAGTCCTTTCTCAATTTCCTTCTCTCTTTTCCTGTCTCTCTCTCTCTCTCTCTCTCTCTCTCTCTCTCCTCCTCCTCTCTCTCTGGCAAGCACACACACCCTACAGCAAAAATAAAATAAAAATAAAATAATAATACAAATTTTTAAAATGTACTTTCGACATGTTACTTTCAACTTATGATGGATTTATCAGGAAGTAACTACTCCTAAGTTGAGGAGCATCTGTATGTCTCACAAAGAGTGAAGAGTCTCCCAGTTTTCTATGAGACGATGAGAAAAAAAATGCTTTTAATTAAGTTAATTACAACAGAGCACCTCACTTCTTAGGGGAGCTTTTCATCTTCAAAGGGGCTCCAGGACGGAGCATTAACTATTGACATGAAAGTCTCCTGAGTTTGAGAGCTGAAGTCTAAGGAGACTAAGCTGTGTGGACTGGAGCCCCGGGCGGGGCCAAAACCTAGGAATTCTCTTGCTTCAGGGTGGTGAGCAGTAAAAGGCAACGCTATGTATGTCCAGACAGTGGCTGCGTGTGGCTGACACTGCGAGGCAGAGGAAGGAGCCTCAGCCCAGGTCCAGTCGCCCTGAGTCCTGACCTGATCTTCTCTACTGGGGGTGGCCAAGTAAAGTCAAGGACACCCAGTTAAATTTGCACTTCAGATAAACAGTAAATATGCCAAAAACTATTACTCTGTTTATCTGAAAAGCAAATGTTACTAATGTCCAGTGTTTTTGTTTGCTGAATCTGGCTGCTCTACGCCCTATGCTCTCCTACACACACACACACACACACACACACACACACACACACACACACACACACACGCTTTTGGAGGTCCAGCTTCCTACCTGGCAGACTCCTACCTGAGAGGTCAGCAAGTCTGGGCATGCTCCCCCAGGGGCACAGGGAACAGGAACTCTCCAGACCTGTCGAGGCCTAGCCTCTTTCCCACCCTCATCTGGGAATGCGAGAAACCCCCCCTTTCAGCTCTCTAGGGAGAGGACTCAAGGGCTAGGCAGCTGGACAGATGCAGCAGCCTTCCCAACTCCTTTATTTGTCTTGGAATTTGGGGGTGAAGCAGCCTCAGGAATGGAATCTCTAAATCTTCTCTCCCCACCCACCTTTCCTTATCTATCCTCTACCTTCACCCCACCACCACTCTGTAGCTTAAGGGAGAAACCTGGGGCCACCCACCCACATCACCCCGATCTGCTGGAATGGAAATTCTTCTGTGACAAAAACCAGAGCGAAATGGTCACTGGGCTGAGCTCAACTTCCTGCCTAGGCTGGAATCCGGCTGCCAGGACGGGTCTGGGCCTGAACTAGCTGTGCTGCTGGTTTCCCGGGCTGGGTGGGGAAGGAAGACAAGCTGGTACTCGCCGGGCACAGAATAGCAACTGGGAGGTTGCAATGCCTGCTCTGAGCTCGACTGAAACTCTCAGGGCCTCCAAACGTTGACCCACTGGGGAGTTCCCAAGCCCTGAAAGCTCCAGCCCCAGCCCCTAGGCTCGGTCAGGGTCAAGGACAGAATGTGGGGCCTTTTTCACCACCCCCCTCCTCCCCATGGGGAAACAGATGGTCCCACCCTTTTACATCCTGAGGTATTACTTCTGGCCTCTGGGCAAGCTTAGCCACCAAAGCGCCATTCAGGGTCCCCTTTCATGACCTAATGCAAAAGGCACGGGGTCAGAGGGAGCTGGCAGCGTCAACCTCCCACTCTCCACTTACCAGCTATGGGGCCTTGGATAAGACTCTTTCTAATGAAATTATTATAAAGTATTTAAAAATATATAAACGGCTTTTAAAATTCCCTGATAACTTGAAAATAAAGCCATTTAAGTCAAATAGAAGTGTCTAGATGAACCTGGCTGACTAGCTGGCAGTACTGTGGAGAAGGGTGGTGGGGGTGGGGGTGGGTAAGGGCTCTGGTACACACAGGGGCAGAACACTTGGCCTCAACCTCGCCTTCCAAGGGCAGCAATTCCCAGGTAGTTACTGGGGAACAGCTTTCCCCTGTGAATTTTCTCCCGGGAATTGCAATGGTAAAACCCTGGAGTGTGTCCTTCCTTCCTTCCTTATCCATTCTTTTTTTTTTTTTAAGTTTTTGCCTTAGGTCATGTGCAGTTGCCAGACAGAGAAACAGTGAGAAGAAAAGTGAGAAATCACCCTGCAGACGTGCCTAGAGTGATTTTCAAGCCTGTTGGCCATGTGGGAATTTAGTGCCTTAACACCACACCTCCTTTCGACCCCCCCTTATCCTTTCTTAATAATTCAGAAGTCCATGAATATTATGAATCAAGCGTTATACACCCAGCTCATGGGCATTCAAATTATGACCTGCTCGTTATGGAGATGTGGCACACTGAAAGTCTTATTCAGTGTTTACTGACTAGAGGAAGAGAGGAAGGGAGGATCAATTTATCTCAACTGAATAGATCTTCGTAGAAATCTTAACTCCTATTTTAGATGCTTCTAATGTTAGTATTTTATTTCCTCAAATATCCCTTTACTGGGTCTACTGTTTTCCCACCTCCATCAGTTTCTATTTATGTAGCAGCCATGCCCAGCTCTGCTGATAGTATTTTGTAAATAGTGAACTAGAGCAGATAGACTTTTACAGCTTCCTGGCTACACCAAAGGATTTAGCTGGCTAGGCACCTGGCCAGAATAGGCCTAGCGGGTCTATCTTTGGATTCCAAAGGCCCAGGAGAAACTGCTACCTTTCAGGGCTCAACGTTATGCAGATGTCACTGTGCTGGGGAGGGACAGGTGGTGTGTGGGCGGTCTTGTCTCTGATCCCTAGGTCTCAACAAAATAAGAGGGGAGAAGCAGTCTTAGTGGGATCAGAAGTTTCCCTGGGGATTTAAAACCAGGTGAGCCCACACACAGGATGTGGAGTACATGTGGGGACAGTCCTGGGATCGGGGGTGGCGTACAACCATGACGAAGGGCCCTTTCTTCTCTTATCCCATGCATCTTCAAGTCAATTTGTTTGTTTTGAAGTTCAGAGATTTGAACCTGAGCTTGGCCACCTTCCATGTGATCTTGGAGATTATCCTCTCTAAGCCTCACTTTCCTCAAGTGTAAAATAGGAATCCTGTGAACTGATCTATACACATGCATTAGCAAATATATATCGAGCACCTACCACAAAAAAGACAGTAGCGAAGAAGACAAACAGAACCCTGTCTTCTTAGATCTTATTTATATTCACGGGCAGAATACCCCAAGTGGTAGCTCCAGTAGGGTGTTTTATACAGTTCATGTGATTAAATTTTTTAAATCATTTCTTGCAAAGTGTATTTTAAAAATGGCAAGTTTTACATGAAAAGCTAGTCCTCTCTGCAGCAAAACTGGGCCTATATTTCCATATGGCAGCCATCAGCCCATTACATAGTGGCTCCTCCCTTTAGAAAGAATCATGATCTCCAGGTGGCCACCACCCTTACCATTTCTAGACAGTCTTTCCTTGCTCAATCTAAACAATGTTTTTGGTTGTTTGTCTTACTTATCTAAAACCTTTATATATGCCCCCTCCCAATGTCAATAGGAAAACATCCAACTCTCTGAGTTGATGTGCAAGGTCTTCCTGGTCTGTTTCCTGCCTAATTCACTACTACAGATGCTAAGCGCCAGTCAACTGCAGCTTCCTGACTATCCGGAGGCACTCTTGCACAATTGCAGTACTGTTCTCTTTGCCTGAAATAATTTTCGCTTCAATTTTTCTGTCCAGAAAACTAACATTGACCTTTAAGAATCATCTTAAGCATCATGTTCCTTTGTGAAGACTTTTGTGAAAAAAATGCCCAGAGGGACACGTGGTCCAGAGATCCTCAGAGATGCAAATGTTCCCCTTGAGAACACAGGGTCATTACTTGTTCTACATCTCATGATTGTCACCAGGGTGCCTTCCAATTTGGTGACAATTTGTAAAATTCCTCAGCTCTCCAATAGATGGGGGACAAAATATGACATAAAAAATGATAATGTCTGGGATTGGCCCAGAGAGAATAGATAAGCACTGTGTGGAGGGAGCTGGATCTCACATGGCTGAACACAGTTCAAATCCTGACCCTGGTCATGTGTGCTTGTTGATAGGAAGGAAGAATGGAGGAAAGGTGATTGCAGTATGACCAGACCCCATTGGGAGGGGCTTTCTCTCTCTCTCTCTCTCTCTCTCTGGATTGTGCATATGGCTTCTGGCACTGAAAGAAAAAAAAAAAAGAAATTAAGAGAATATCTGTAAATGAAATTAGATAATGCAGGAAAAATGTCTGAATGGAATTCTTGAGGCTTAATAAGCAGTAATTGTTATTCCAGCTGTTGTTATTACTAGTCCATGAGGAGGCAACTTCATCAAAGGCAGGAAGGGAGCATGTGCAGAGTATGTTCAAGGATGAAGAATTGGTTATGGTTGATGAGTAGTGCAATGGCAAGAGTGGTGGTTGGAAAAGCAGGCCAGGGCCAGAAAGGGACCTTCCAAGCTGGTCTCCCTATTTGGCCCTTTTCTCCTGTCTGTCTACCTTAAACACAGCAGCAGAGTGATCCTGCAAAACAAGTTACCTCATGTCACTCCTCTGCTCAAAAGCCTCCGGGGTGCCTTATTGCTCTCAGAGTAAAAGCCTTTACCTCTCAGAACTCACATCCTCCTGCTTTCCTCTCCCTCACCCCTCACTCTGTTCCCGCCATACTGACCTCCCAGCCCTTCCTTTACTGGGGGAAGCATGCTCCTGCCTCAGGGCTTTTCACTTGCAGCCTCTTTCTGGAATGATCTTCCCTCTGATATCCACATGACTTCCTTCATCACATTCTGAGATGTCTACACAAATGTCATCTTCTCCCTGGTTGGTCTATCGAACAGTTCACTCCAGCCCTGTCCCTACCAACCTCCTTCAGTTGCCCTATTGTTCTTCATAGAACTTACCATTGACTAACATACTTTACTTGCTTATCTCCTTTATTGTCTGTCTCTTCCACTAGAATATAAGCATCATGAGAGCAGAAATTTGTGTCCGTCTGTCCGACTCATGGCTACATCTCCAGCACCTGGAGCAGAGCCTGGCACACAATGGATACACGATGATCATTTGTTGGTTGAGTGAGTAAAAGCTTGATTCAATCCACATTAAGAGACCATTTTGAGCAGGAGAGTGATGGGTCAGAGCTCACTGAGGCTATAGAATAGATTGGAGTGGGGTTGGAAACTGGAGCGAGGAGGTGGTCTAAGTGAAAGTTTAAACAAAAGGCTTCAGTAAGATAGGAGGAGACAATGAGAGGCAGTTTGAAAAGGGCTGGGATTTTGATGGTGTGTGGTAGGTATTCAATAAATATTTACAAAACAATTGATGAAGGGATGATGCTTATATCTCATGTGAAGCAGACCCAGGGTCCTGGTCTAGTTTTGTTTTAGAAAGACCCAAATGCCATTTGCTCCTGATTCTAGGGTTCTCTGCTAGGGGTAGCATGAGACAAACACTGAAACTTACTTTCTTTCTTTCTTTCTTTCTTTCTTTCTTTCTTTCTTTCTTTCTTTCTTTCTTTCTTTCTTTTTCTTTCTTTCTCTCTCTCTCTCTCTCTCTCTCTCTTTTCCTTTATTTCTTTCTTTTTTTGTCTCCAACAGAGACTTTGTGCCACTATCCACCCCCAGCCTCCAGTCCTGGATTGAAGTGCACATGCACTTGAAGTGTTTAGGGTGGCCTCTGGACGCCATCCCAGAACCTTCCCATGTAAGTCAGCCTTGTGTTACTGCCATGCCACTGTCCATCCCTGAACTCCTGTGTTCCTCCCTCCCTTCCTTGATTGTTCTAACCCTCCATGTCATCTCCTCATATTCTTGGCCTTGGGTTAGCTTAGACAAAACTGGGATTCAAGCTGTAGGAATTGACTACAGTTTGGGCTGTAGGTGTTTAGAGGCAGAGACAAGATCAAATGACATTTCTGAATGCTATGCAATTAAAGTCCAAGACAATGTGGAGAAATTAGTGTGAAAGGGAGCCCACGGGGCATCCCTGGCCAGTCCAGAGCCACTTAAGAGTGAAACTTCTGTGGATGCTGTCCCTACATTCTCCATGGATCCATAGGACTGCTGGACAGGAGGCTAGTTGACTGAGGCATGTGGACTGCATTAAGAGGAAGTTCCCACAGTGGAGGGCAAATGGGTGGGGCTGCTACATGGCCAGAGAGCTGTCATTTATACCCTCCCTTTTCTGTCCCTCAGCCACATCTCCCCAAGGGAAATTACTCAGTAGGCTCCGAGACCCACACTTGGGCTTTGCTCCTAGTCCAGTCAGCAGAAGGGAGATGCTTCATATCCTCCCATCCCAAGAATAAATATGCAGTAACACATTTCTGAATTCCACAGGCTTTTATTAAGTGAATACCAGATGCTCAGAACTTAATGGATCCTTGCCTAAAGCTGGAAAAGGACAAGGGGTGAGGGATGCAACAGTGAAGAAAAATAACGTTTTCTGAGACCTATTATTGTTTTGTTTATTTAGCTGAATTCACTTGTCAGTCCTGTGCATGAGGTAAGAAAATTGAGATTCGAGTAGCTCATGTAAGCAGGAAGTAAGAGAAAATTGGAGACACCTTTTGACTCACTCTAAACACCTAAGCAGCTAACAGGTGGTGTTTCTGAGGGCCTCAGTGCTATCTCTAGAATTTAATCACAGGGCTAGGCATTGTTCAGACTAGAAGGCAACTGTGAATTTATTTGGCAACAGTGCATGAAGGGGCTCAGGGTAGACAGCAAGGGTCATAGGCTGCTGTCACCAAGTGCCAGGGAGAGGTCTGACACTTAGGCCTCCTATTGCCCCAAGTGCACCACCTTCTTTCTTAGACAAACAAACAAACAATTATTTCCAGAGGGTGCGTGCACTCACCTGAGAGAGGTAGAGAGACTGAGCAAGGGAGAAAGCACTTTCCACTGGGGCATGCAATCTGCAGTATCTTCTCCTCCATTTCTCTGTCCTTTCAGGATTTGGGACATGCATGCACATGTGCCTGATGTGCGTGTGTTTGTTTTTTTTTTTTTTTTTTTTTTTTTTTTTGCTGCTGTGTAGTGCGTATACTTGCCAGAGAGAAATAGAGAGAGGGAAAGTGAGAAAGCACCTCCCCACAGGGGATGGCCACACTGCAATCCTTTCTCCTCCATTCTCATCTTGGAATTCTGGGTGCACATACAGGCATTGTTCAGTGCTTGTTTAGCTCACACTTGAGTCCAACATTGTACTAGGAAGCCCTGGTCTGCAAGAATTCCTGTCTGGTTGCCCTCAAGGATTTAACCTAGGACTGGAGATAATGATTACACAGAGGAAACAAAAAGCAGATAAAAGCAGTGATGGTCACTCCTGTCCCCATGCACTCCACCAATTATAGAGTGCGTTCATATCTACTATCTCATTTCAAAGCAGTATATAATCACAAGATAGAGTGGTTGGTGCTGATCATGAAGCCCGAATCAGGCACCTACTCTGTCCCAACAGGGCAGTATATTTGAAGTCAGAACTGCAAACCCTCAAATTCATGGTTGCAGTTTCTTGTTTGGTTCTTTTGTTTTCAGAGCCAATGCAGCTCCCTGTGCTAGGAGGAGATGAGAAATGAACTTTCAGATCTATAGTGAAGGGGAGGCAGATTGGAGGAAGGACCCCAGTGGGGAGCTTACTTCCAAGTGATTTACTGGGCTTTGTTTTTCATCCTTTTTCTCCCACATAGATCCAAGTTTGGAATAAAGAAAGCTGCTTCTTGGAGAACACTATTCAGGTTGGTTCAAGGATGAAAAGAGTCATAAATGAGTATGAATAGCTCTGAATATGTAGTGGGAAATTCTCCTAGAGTTCCAAGCCAAAGTCTGTTCCATTGCTTGGGTTGGAAAGTGAGATTCACTTATGTGCTATTTTCCTGTTGTTGGTCTTGATGGTTCTCAGATTTGGAGCATATTCTAGGATGCAGTCCCCAGAGGGTAAGAGGACAGAACGGGGACAGTAAGACTAAACCTATGTGCATTACAGTTTAGGCTGTGGTTTAGGCAATGTGTTAGACTTGTCTGTAGCCCTGGTCCCTGAAAATACTTGAGTGGAACAAGAGATAAACCAGGGCCAAGAAAGGAATGCATTCCAGAAGGCTGGTTGGGGTCTGAATTCCTTTGCAAGAACACAGAATTAGATTCCTTAACTTGATGTCCCTAACTAGTCTTTAGCAACCCAAACAAACTGCAGTTTTCCAGCTTCAGAGATTATTTGGTGTCACTGACTTCAGGAGGACTAAGCGCTCCACGGTACTGAGTCTTTAGATTCCCAGTTACCATGCCCTCTGCTCTGCTGGGAAAGGTGTGGGACCTGGGTCTCAGCTCTATTTTCAGATGTGTGACATAGGGGAGGTTAACATCTAGGTGGTGAAAGAGACCCCTCCCCACAAAATAAGAGCTGACTAGGAGCAGGGGAGGGGAATTCCCCGATTTTCTGTGGCTGTGAATCAGGCTGCTAAGCTGAAATGCACATCCCACTGCCTGAAACTCAGACTCACAAGTGAGTCAGCAATGGTTCACCTGAGCAGCAGGGAGGGCAAAATGATGGAGCAGGCCAAGCCACATTGGGGATGTCTAAGTCTAGAAGAAGCTCTTTTGAGAACATACAAGAGCTGATTTCTCAGAGACCTTGGAGAGGTTCACAAGATGTTCTTAATTTCCAGACCAAGCAGATGAGATGAGTTTTAGGCAAAGAACACTTTAGGATGGCCTCATGTCAGGTCTCATTACTCGAAGAGCCAGGAAGTTCCTTCTGATCTCTATTATAATTCCTCCTCTTTACCCCTTTTCACTGACATGAGAGTTGGGACTTGGTTTTATTCACTGTAGTATTGACAATGCCTAGATCCTTGGGTGATTTTTTTTTTTTGAGAGGTTTTTGCTATAGAGTGTGTGCACTTGCCAGAAAGACAAAGAGATGGAGAGACAGAAAGTGAGAAATCACCCCCCACCCCAGAGGGATGGCCATGCTGCAATCTCTTCTCCTTCATTCTCCTCTTGGGATCTTGGGCATGCACGCATACGCACCCAGCATGAGTTTAAGCCACTGGGTCTGGGACTCGAACTGCAGTCGACTACATGGGAGTTCAGCGGCATAGCCATTATGTTAACTGCTGGTCCTGAATTTATTTTTTAATTTTTTTTTTTTTATGTATTGCAGGAAGGTACATGCATTTACCAGAGAGAGAGGGAAAATGCAGGTCCCAGTGGAGTGTGGTCTTACAGCAATCTTTTCTCCATTTCTCCATCCTATCAGGATTTGGGGCATGTGTATGCACCCAGCTTATTTTTTTTCAAGCCAGCAGGACTGGGAGTCCAAGTGCAGCTGGCCATGTATGATCAGGCTTCCTTAACCAGGGACTGGCCCAATTTATTTCACTTTATGATTTAAAGAGTTAACAGCCAGAGCAGTGTCAGTCAGGATAGACTCTGACTAGAGTACAGAGCAGGGTCCAAGTGGAAAGAGATCTGAGTTTGGGGTCTAGTGTTGACTTTGTGGCTAATTTGCTATGTGACCTTAAGTAAATCACTTGACCTCTCTGGGCCTCAGTCTTTTCATCTATGAAAAAGGGGAGGTTGCAAACTCAGATGCCTACAAGGTCAGGCAATTAAAGTAAATTGGGGGGAGGGGGTTCTTCTGACTAGAACATGTAGACTCCTTCTGAATGCATAGCTATTGCCACGTAGACCTGCTGTCCATAGTGTCCAGACCACTTGACTCTTCAGGAGAGGCCGAGAATCTGGATCTTTATGTAAAGTCTCTTGTAGTCAAAAGACCGTGTGGATCAAACATGTCTAAACCAGTTTTACCCCTAAACTAGAGGATCTAGAAGGACTCTCCTGGCATGAATTTTCTGGTTCTAAAATATGTGTTTTCTAAAGAAGACTCTTAAGAAATCCCCTTAGTCATGGGAATTTCAGTGCAAAAGCGAGTGCCTGTGGGTGGGCTCATACTTGTATGCCATTGAGCTTTTGCAAAAGCTCCTCTCAAATGACAGTCTCCTGGTGGTCTTCTTCCCAGCCCCCCCCAACACACACACACACACACACACACACACACACACACGCAGTGGACTATCTGTTTGGGTCAGGAGCCCCTGCCTGGGTCAGATGGAAGATGCAGTTTATCCAGTGAGCTCATCAGCAATAAAAAGCTGGCTGTGTTGCTGACCTGGCCCTCCCTTGGGTAAAGGGAAGAGTGGCCACAGGGCAGTGGTTGAGGCAGAGGCTGGTGGAATCCGGCCTCAGGGCCTTGCTGCCTCCTGGTCCATTTATGGCTGTATCCCAAAGCTAAGCTGAGTCTAGGAATCAAGTCTACATCATTACCAACCTGGGCTCTCCAACCCTCTGATTTAATTTACTAGGGCTATTGGGACCAAGTGGGTGGGTTAAATAACAGAAATTGTATTGTTTTGTAATTCTGGATGCTGGAAGTCCAAGATCAAGGTGTCAGGAGAGTCTGAGGGCTGTGGGGAAGGCTCTATTCCAGGCCTCTCTTGTTGGCTTCTAAATGACCGTCTTCTCCCTGTGTCTCTTTGCAGCATCTTCTAGTGTGTTCACATTGCTTCCTTTTATAAGGACACCAGTCTTTCTGATTAGGGCCCGTAGTAATGACCTCATCTTAACTCTATTACCTCAATAAAGATCCTATCTCCAGATAGGGTCATATTCTGTGATACTGCTGGTTAGGACTTCAACATACGGATTTTAGGGGATGCAGTTCAACCCATAACATCACTTCTTTACAGTTTCTCACTCCTTGCTTTAAACACCAAAATGTAAGTGTCCCCTCATGCTGTCTCACCTGTCCGAACTTGAGGGTGGGCTGTGTCTCATTCTCCCTGTGAACATGTCCTCTATGCTGTGGACCCGGAAGGTGGGAGACCTGCCATCAAGCCCTTATTAAGGGACAACAGGACTTGAATATCATAATTATTCTGTGAGGTGCTGTCTATATGGTACTTTTTATCCTTTACTGATAATAATCAGAAGTACTTACACTGCCCTTGATAACTGCTAAAGTTATTCCAAGCACTTTATAGGTGGTGATTTGTTGAATCTCCACAACACCCTGTGTACTATTATTAAGAAGCTGAAACCTAGCGAGCTTAAGCTTTCCCAAGTCTGTAGTAACTGATGGAAATGGGGTTTGAACCCCCATAACTGATCTAAAGACTATGCTTTCAATCATTCCCTACAGTGACTGGAAAACGCGAGTATTATTCTTCTCATTGAAGAGATGAGAAAACTGAAACGAAGGTAAGTAATAAGTAACCCAGGGACATTCAGATGAGGGGCCGAGTAAAGGAGGTATTCCAGTCCTGAAAGCCACCAAGTTTCCTACAGACAGGACCAAGTATCCTGAATTCCTCCCACTGCTGTTCAACCCTCCTTACACTGGGCCACGGGTAGTGGCGCCACCTCGAAACTCAGAACTCTTATTTGTGCTTAACTGTCTCCATATTACAGGGTAATAATGGGGCGTGAAGGAGGGGCGGCCACCTCTCACCTTAGAACTGACTTCCTAGTCGCTTCTACTTCCCAGGACCACCAGCCCTGAGGCCAAGGGTTGGGCCTGAGTCTGGGACTTTTCTTAGCCTGGGTTAGAAGCTGGGGAGTAGGGTAGAGAAGAGGCCGGGCGGGGCGGGGCTGGGCTGCCCAGGAAAGCAGAGTGTCATATTTCTCGCCGCCCGCCA